ATATATATATGTGTGTGTGTGTGTGTGTGTGTGTGTGTGTGTGTGTGTGTGTGTGTGTGTGTGCATGCAACAAATAAAATCATATGTACATGTTATTTGAAAATTTCTTTATTATATATATATATATATATATATATATATATATATATATATATAATTAATAGATTAATTAATAATGCCACTAAGATGCAAGTGGCTACTTCGGGTGAAAAGAATAAAAAGAAAAACCTAATCCTAAACGAAATACAAGGGATAAACATTTACTCCTATTCAAAATATCTGGGAGAAGTATGAACCGGACGATAGCGAAACTATTTACACCTATTGATAATAATGGTTTACTGATACAAGTCGTATTATTTAACCCATAATTTGAGGAAAAGAGGTGGATTCATACCTTTTTCCCATGATATTTGCGCGTAAGTGAATAAAACTAATTCAACTTGAATTGGAACTTGGCTCTCCATTTCCATCTCCGAGCCTTTATCAATTAAACCAACAGCATATTCAATATATATATATATATATATATATATATATATATATATATATATATATATAGATAGATAGATAGATAGATAGATAGATAGCATATTTGTATATTTATGCTATATATACGAAATCGTTGGCATATCTGATATTATTATACTGCCTCTGCTAACGCGTGCGTCGCCGATCACGCAAAGTTGAATAGTGAAGGCAGGTTCGAATTTTGTCGAAGAGCGGACATTTTTTTCTTTAATGAGATCAGCCGGATATTCAGACGGGTTGGCCAAAATAAATAAATATACTGTTTAATAAATAAACGGCCGTCCGCTGACATAACAGTATCCACTAAAAGTAACGTTTAAAGTAATAAAATCTGTCGGATTAATAAATAAAAAAAATCCTTTACTTCTTTAGAAATTGCTTTGTTTACATTTGGATACGAAACTAAACCCATACGAGATTTTAGAATCTCTGACGAGAATGATTTCGTTAAAGGCACTATTCAACCTTGTTTGATCGTCAAATGTCCTTCGTGGCTGTGTCGATATAAGCACCTTGGATCTAACGACGGTTTTCCTGTAAATGTGGACAAAAGTTCGAATCCTATCAGTAGGCGCATTATATTCTTTAATAAGATTTATCAAATTTTCCCGCAAGTAGCAAAAATAATTAAACAGAGCGTTTATTCAAAGATGGATATCTGCTAAAAGTAATCTTTAAATGTATCGGAATAATAAATTAAAAAAAAAATGTTTTTGTTTATTGTACTGACAAGAACGGTGTAGTTTGCAAGTCATTTTTCATTCAATTGTCCTTTTTGTATATACAAGCCTTCTTTCTTGAGGACTGAATATCTGGAGAAGTTTTCCAGGGTGTTGGTCTCCCCGAACGCTTTGAATGAATGCACTCGACATTTTCAAGGGTGTGGTTCATTTTCGTGTCAATCTGGACTGTTAATATATTTTTCTTTTCTTTTCCTCTACTGTTATTATTAATTCATCCGATGATACGACGATATATGTGTGCACCTCCAAACATTGGGATAACTAGAGATTGGCATCTGATCTCCCATCCGAGCCAGCTCTAACATCTCAGTGAGGGGGGAAAACTCTCTGGTTGTGGGTGACAAATTATTTTCTGTCGTCCAACTCCTCTCTGTCATACGGGGTGTGGCATACCTCTCACTGTTCTATCGCGACTTCCATGGAAAATACTTGAACGAACGGCATTCCTTGGTTCCACCATGTCTAACCTTGACGGCTAGTACCCATCATGCCACTTAAATTGCAACAAACCACCCTCATTCCCTCCGTATTCTATTGTCGTGAAGTGAGTTCCACTCAAACAGCTTCTTCATGTGAACGACTGTTCTGTGGAATAAACCCTCAAAGGGAAGTTTCCCCGATCACTACAACGATGGTCTGGGTCACTTCAACGCTGTGTAATGGTTAGCAAGCTAGTCCAATCAGTTACGACTGAAAAGTGATCTACACTGAGTACATTCAGCCTAGTAACACATCTAAGCTATGCTTATAAAATGAGTTATTGCTTAATAATTATCACTACGAAATAATGATGATCACATAATACACTATAGGAAAAGCTGGCTGACGAGTTAGCGCTATAGACGATTAAACACCTAGAGAGCGATCATTTTTCTTTTCGAATTGATCAACAGTGTAAAAGTACGCTATAATGAACAAAAACAGTATTATACTCCAAGAGTATTACAACTTGGCTGGTTTGGCTTAACATTTTTATCTTTTGTTTCGGTTACGTGTACATTTTCTTAGTGCCAGGACATTCAGAAATAAGAAAGACGTCAAAGTAATCAGTAATAACAGTATCCACTAAAAGTAACGTTTAAAGTAATAAAATCTGTCGGACTAATAAATAAAAAAACCCTTTACTTCTTTAGAAATTGCTTTGTTTACATTTGGATACGAAACTAAGCACGTATGAGATTTCGAGAATCTCTAACGAGAATGATTTCGTTAAAAGCACTATTCAAACTTTTTTGATCGTCAAATGTCCTTCGTGGCTGAGTCGATTATTATATCATTCTTTGCGAGGTTAATGGACAATTTATAGTAGGTACCACAAAAAACTTTCTCAAAAAGAGCATACCATGATGAAAAAGATCCCAAAATGAAGAAAAAAAAGCTTTATCGTCAAAAAGTTCAAGTCATTATTAAATGGAAAGACCAAGGATTTTTTTATTATTATTATTTTATTAAATTTTTAATCTTTTCTTGCACGTTCGAAATTCTGGTTAAAAATCTTATTTTTTCTTGCATCAGCGAGTGGGCCAAAGATTAGTATAGGTATTTTAGTGTGTTTTTAGGCGTTAAAAACACATTGTTTTGAAAATTCTAGCAGAAATCAAAGTATTGTCGGATTTTAAAGAAATCTTCTGGAATTATTTAGAAATGAATTAAATTATATTTGGCTTCTTTTTTTTTCGAAAATCTTAATAATAATTTTTGTTTCTTTTTCATGTTACTCCCACTTACTTAATTTTATGAAATTTCGAAAAATTAAAATATAAACCTCTTCGTATTTATATTAGTTAAAAGCAGGACTCCTTGGAGTGTTTTGCTTATTGGAAAATATTAAATTTAATCTATTAACTTGAAATTAAGACTAAAATAAATACTTCAAGCAAGATTTTTTATTTAAAAAAAAAGTAATTTTAAACCTTAGATATCGCGTTTTTGTGGAGGTCCCTAATTTATCGCAGATATTTATGGACTCCTGGAACATTTGCCCCGCAAACAATATTGTCGGACTCATGTGAGTCCGGGTTAAAATAATAAACACAAAACAATGAATTTAAATCAATGTACGTATTAACAAAAGTATTTGCATGTGTGCACAATTGTATTGAAAGGTAAAGACATTGTAACTAGATATAAGAATGGGCTTGCTTGTATGCATGGGTGATAGACACGTGCGTGTGTGTCCATGAATAAGAAATTTTGAAAATCAACAGAGAGCCAAAGAAGAGAACGTGGTTCGTCGGCAGCGTTCTTTACGTTCGACTACATTTGGAAGCAAGAGTTAAAAAGCGAAAGAGAGAGAATATGCTTGCCTTTTTATAGACTTAGAGACCTCCCCGTCCTAACGAGCGTTTTTGGTAAAGCCAAGTCGGGTAACCCATAGCTTTCATTCCTGCTATATATTTAAAGATCCTTGATAAAATTCAAATAAGAATCTGCAATGTCATTGGGCCTAAATTGGAATCTCGGCTCCAGTTACTTTCCAACTACAGTGTAGCTACATTCTGCGTTTTTTTTATAAATACTTTCATGGTAATTGTTCTGATGACCTTTCCTCTATGGTACTTACACTTTATGGATTTAAGCGCAGTACTAGATTGGCGGCAAGGTCTCATCGTTTTAGAGTTGAAATTGATAGTGTTACGAGGATGCATTTCTATAATAAGGGATTCTATTGAGTTCTACTTGTTATTACAAAAAAGTTTTCATTCATGAAGTAGTTGTAAAATAGAGAAATTAGAAATAGAATGTTTGGAAGATTCTAGATCATTCTCGTATATTCGAGAAAAATCTAGATGATTCGAGAAACATCTAGAAATATGCAAATTAGGTGTTAGCCCCTATAAAATGGGATTTTGGAAAAGGGTTGTCAGTTGGTGAATGAGAATTTCTGCTGTTATCAACTCCGGCTTTTGATTCAAGGACTATTATATCCAGCCGAAAGAGTCTCTATAAAAAGTTGCCGACCAACCAAAACCCAAAAGAGAATTTCATGGAACAAATTTGGTAAATAGAATTTTGACTAATTTTCATTGACCAAACTAAAAATTAATATTTATTTACACACCTTTGTTGATTTCCAAAACATAGCACTTAGATTACTTCACTAGCCCTAAAGTGATAAAGATATTTGATTCCCTTTCCTTCTCCCTCGTAACACTTCGCCAGTAACTCTGTGTTTTCCGTTTTGTAGACCACAATTGTTTATCTTGTATATTTTTTATGTTGTGTTTTAGTAAATTAAATATTTGTTTGTGATTTAGCTCTGTGTTGTGGTAAATCATTTTTTCCCCTTTGTTACAATTATCAACACATAACAATAGATATAACCTCAAGTCCTATGCTAACTGTTTCATTTATCGCACTTCTTGCTTATGTAACTGTCTTCCCGCTTCTTGCTTCCCAGTTAACTTTGATCTTCGAAAATTTAAATGGAGAAGATAATGAATGACAAGTCGTTATCTGCTGTCTTCTTAATTCCTGTTCTTTTGTTGCTTTCACTCCTTAATAGTATTTTTTTCTTTTTTCTGATGATCCCACATACTCAGTAACCTCTTCCGACTTAGTGGCTTTATTGCCTTCATGGGGGTGAAATGATAAAAAAAAAAAATAAGCCCAGAGTTTTATCAGTGGGAAATAGAAAATTTGTCATTACGTTGGACAAAATAATACCACTCGTAAATATGGCATTACCTCTTCCAGAGGTATGCTTGCAAACGTAACTTTTACAGCTTACGGCCACGTCACGTTGAAACACTAGTTCCCGTTTGATCACCAAAGTTAAGCAACGTCGAATCTGGTCAGTATCTAGATGGGTGACTGCATGGGAGTACAGGTGGCTTTATGGATAACAGTTCGGAATCTCTATCTATAAAAGGCAGGAAATGTGTGTGTGTGTGTGACGAATGCACGGCCGCAATTTTCGACGGATTCGCACCAAAATTTACACGCACATTACACATGCTCCAAATTAGCGGGAAGGCCAAGAGCGACTTTGCATTACCCAACTCCCATCGATAGTGGAAATAATAGATTTTTTTCATGCTTCTACGTCAGTTTTCATGTAGTTTGCGGTCATTTTCTACTGGCCAGAGTGAGAGCCTATAGCTGGCTGCCACGAATAGGCAGGGAGATTCTATTGGCCAGCGTGAGAGCCAACAGCTGACTGACGCGAATATTAACTAGCATGCTAGCATGCAAAAAAATCGTAACAAGTGGGAAAAATTTTAATGTGCATGGCACTTCAATTGGCTCATTCACTTGCTTAAAATCAACATTGATTCTGATTCCGCAGAACTGGGTTGGATGTGAAAAAATATTTATTGTTAACATTCTTTTTTCATTCGGTTTTTCCAGTTACGAGTCCTTTTTTTAAAGCTGATCGTTTTGTGTTCATTTTGTTTAGTTCTTTTTTCGTAACAGATTTAATGTTTAGTATAGGGCTTGGAAAAAATTCGCAGTGTGAAGAAGTAAGGCATGTAGCAACATCAGCACGTCAAAGGGCACTCCTTTAAAGGCAAGGAAGGGCAAAAATATTTTAAGTGATGTGATAGCGATGGCTGTTGTAGGATTTTTTAATCCAGCACGGGCAACGCCGGGCCATGCTGCTAGTTGTTAATAAAAGATTGCAAAGTGTTGATCTCCCCCCAGTCCATTGGGAAAACGGGAGACTTGAATTAGACAGCAATTGGAGGCGGTCTGGCTTCTAATAAAGTTTCCTATTCCGTTTCCTTCAACTAACAGAACAACGTAAATCAAACAATTCAACAACAAAAGTCTCCTGTTCGCTACGCAGTCGCACTTCTCTTTTTGGGAACATGCGAGATATGTCCGAACTCGTTTTCGTCCATTTTCTCTAGTGTTACAGAATCCAATTCGAATAATGCCTGAAATAATAACAATTCGTTGTTTTAGAACTTTAGTCAATACTAGGTAGGCCAAAGAACGCGTCGAACTATTTGTTTTCGAAATCACAAACAGCAGGATTTAATCCTAATAATCTGCACACTAATGATAAATTGCAATTATGCAGTGTTTAATTTCACTGTACCAGAAACTTGAAACCAATTAGTGATATATGCTGGTTTTAATCAGGTTTTACTGCACAATGCAAGCTTACCTCTAACTTTATGAACCTCAGATGCAATTCAAATATTTTTATCATAAGATAAATTTTCTGAAAGCATCCGATTCCTATATTTTTTTTTAATTCTGGGATAATCAAATTTAACAATATATTACATTTGATTGTATAACTTTGAAAATTAAAACCTGTCGCCAGTAGATTTAATAAAATCTTGTCATTATTTGCATTTTTCTAATTTAAAACACGCCTTTCATTTTTTCTTTTCTTTTTTTTTTTTTCTAAGATCTGATTCAAAATGGCGAATACCAGATATTAAAATCAAACATTAATTTAATCACGGTGTTCTTATTACAGAAGTTTTGGTTGTGTTCTGTAAATATTAAATCGAAAACAATTTTATCGAATTCTGTCTGAAAGAAATGTTTATGTAATTCAATTTTGCCCGGCAACAAATAAGCAGAGAGTTCGGTTGAATAATATAATCACTGATAAAAGATATTTAAATAAGAAATGGTGCTTTAGGTATATTAAAGTTAATGCCAAAGGAAATGAAGGCTATTTTTTTACTAAATTTCGCCGCTTACAAGGATAAAGAAATGCTCAAATAGAGGCTTATTGAATGAGATATGTAATGTGAACGTAAAAGGAGGTAAAAGAAAGTGATTATGATAAGAAGGAGGCTAGATAATGATTAAACCTTGATTTGAAAATGTTAAGATTGTAGCGTTCAAGGAAGATTCCACGTTGGAGTCAGTTCCATATAGTAACAGTTTTTGAGAATTTATGAAAGTAAATACTGGCGTTTATATGGACATTTGATATGGAAATAATGATAGATGAGCTATAGGCTTGCAACATAGCGTCTGTGGGAAAGTGGATGCAGAGTTTATAGGTCTACAATTGCAAGACGGCAGAAACGATTTTAAACACGCTCAAGGGTGGGTTAAATGTGATCATTTTGCATCTACTGTCCTGATATGGCGGTAATATTTCATTTTTGGTAAAATCTGGTTCCTATAGAGCTAGTACATGGCAGAGGGTGAGAGGTACTTGCTGGATCTAAACGGTATAAGTGAGCAGAGGACAAATACCGAATGAGAATTTTTTTGATCCTATCACACTAGAACTGGAAGAAAAAGCAGAAATCCACTCATCCCTGTAATTGATCCCTCCACACGAACATGCACGCACGCACACACACACACACACACACATATATATATATATATATATATATATATATATGAATAAAAATAACAATAGGAAAACTGGTAATTGTTGACGCGTTTCTTTCAATGTGGACCTTATCAAAGCAAAATACGAAAATGAAATTAATTGAACAAGGTAACTAATAAAAACAAAAACAGAATGTACCTACCAACTGGAATGTAGAGAAACGCTATTTTCATATTTTTAACTGAAAATAACGTCAGTATTTGTCACGTGTGGAGAATATTGTCATTATATCTGTGTTGATGTATTCAACCATTTTCTTTTGATTTTATGAATCTGTTGTGTATATTTGTTTGTGAGAGCAGTAATTTTTGTTTTTGTTTTTATTAGTTACTTTGTTCAATTAATTTCATTTTCGTATTTTGCTTTGATAAAGTCCACATTGGACGAAACGCATCAGCAATTATCAGTTTTCCTATTGTCATTTTTATTCATAAATATTGTCTTCTCTACTGGTTAAATCGGAGAAATTTTCATTTCATATATATATATCGTTTGAAAGGCGTCTGAGGTTATATTTATATTATTCGATTTTAATCGGTAAATATTAAATTAGGTCCCCTACAGATAGGCTGTATCAAAAATACTTTTACACACTTTGGGTCAGGTTACTAACACAAAAAAAAAATGTCCATATATATATATATATATATATATATATATATATATATATATATATATGAGGGGAGCATATAGAAAAAGGTATATTACTATATTTTCTACATATAAAGGAAAAAAGGATTTACAGCCTCACGTTTTCTTTCTCGCCACTTTAATAATTAGACCCGTGCCTGCCATTTCCGATGTAAAGACACTTCATACAAAGCGGTAATACAAACATGGAAAGCCGACATATTAGGGCACAAAGACAAGTGTCATAAAATGCTCGCCTCTGCAATGACCAAACAAAATAGAATTTAATCTTCAGACAAAAGGCAATTCTGACAAAACAATAACATGATCCCGTATATCATATATATATATATATATATATATATATATATATATATATATATATATATCAATCCATCAACTATTTCTCGCACCCACTTCCAGAATTGATGTAAAACAATATTGAACTCATGTGTAATTCATTAAATAGTTGACTATAACTTCAGTTTCACTCAACCCTTTTTAATAGTTTATAAACTAACCCAACAACAATTAATGCATACTTTCATATAATTCAAATTCCATTCTGAAAGCCCAAGACCGACTTTGCATTTCTCAACTCCCATCGATAGTGGAAATAATCGATTTTTTCATGCATCTACGGCAGTTTTCATGTAGTTTGCGGCCATTTTTTACTGGCCAGAGTGAGAGCCTATAGCTGGCTGCCACGAATAGGCAGGAAGATTCTATTGGCCAGCGTGAGAGCCAACAGCTGACTGACACGAATGTTAGCTACTATGCTTGCATGCAAAAAAATCGATAGCTGCATTCCTCACAAGTGGGAAAAATTTAAATCTGCATGGCACTTTACTCCAATTGGCTCATTCGCTTGCTTAAACTCAACGTTGATTCTGATTCCGCAGAACTAGCAACATCAGCACGGCAAAGGGCACTCCTTTAAAGGCAAGGAAAGGCAAAAATATTTTAAGTCAAGTGATAGCGATTGCTGTATGACTCGTACGATTTTTCAATCAAGCACGGGCAACGCCGGGCCGTGCTGCTAGTTTTATAATAGCTAGTTTTTTTTTTTTTTTTTTTTCGTTTTAATACCTCTGGGGAGAAATGCCTGCAATATATGTTTTGTTTGATGGATCGTAGGAAGATGCAAAAGAACAGTCATATTCAGCTCAGAATTTGGATTTTATTTTTATTTTCTACGTAAACATTAAATAATACTTAATATCTGCATATAATTGCTCCAGAAAGTCGGGTTTTGAGAAGAGACGGTGTTGGTTTCGGTTCTACGAGAGGTCTCTGGCGACAATGAGTCTGGCGACAAAATTTTCCGGCGGTAATATTCCCTCGTGGTCAATTTTTTTCTTATAAAATATTAAAATAAAACATAAAGGCAAAATTATCCCAGTAATCATATAATTTATTTCCTTTTAATTGGCCTCCCAGAAAGAATATAAGACAGAACAATTAGAAATAAAATTCTTTCTATTTGAAAATTCTTTAATTCAAATAAACTAGCCAAGTTAGCCAACTCCGCGAAATTGCCATTCAAAAAACTGTGGAAATGCTGTACACACTATTTTCTCTTTTTACATACTAAACTAATTTTGCTTTTTTCCCTAATTTTATAAAAAAAAACGACTTAAAAAACACACAAAGTCGCATTAAAACGCCTATACTTTGTTTATAAAATCTCCGACTGACTAATTTTTTCACTATCGTCTGCTTTTTCCAGTTCCTTTGCCACTCAACATGTTTGTCATAAAGCCAATCCATTTTATAATATCTCTTTCTAAAATAATCAATATAACGAGTCACTCGATTTTTATTTATTAAAAAAAGAAATTAGCTTTTATAATGAAAAATAATAATTTTTCCTGTCATAAAAAATCAA